TATATATGTGTGTATATGTGTATATATATGTGTGTATATGTGTATATATATGTGTGTATATGTGTATATATATGTGTGTATATGTATATGTATATGTATGTATGTATGTATATATATATGTATGTATATGTATGTATGTATGTATGTATATGTATGTATATATATATATGTATATGTATATGTATGTATATGTATATATATGTATATATATGTATATATATGTATATGTATATATATGTATATGTATATGTGTATATATGTATATGTGTATATATGTATATGTGTATATATGTATATATATGTATATGTGTATATGTGTATATATGTATATATATGTATATATGTGTATATACGTATATATGTATGTGTACATGTGTATGTATGTACATGTGTACATATATGTATGTAATATTTAAAAAAATTAAGCATTGAAAGTAAAAACACGTGGTTTACAGGGAATATTTATTGGTCTGGTGCAGTGTCAGCTCAGCTAACCGGCAGACATGGAAGTGGTATCAGTCGTCTCCTCTCAGCATTATAAACAATTGAACCAATCCTTTGAAGTACACCCTTAACATTGCATTGTCCTTTGCTATGTGTTGGCTTCTGCTCCTGCAACCGAAGACATACAAGGTGTTTTATACAGTTCCACTTCATCTTGTGTTCGTTCCACTTTAACCAGCTGTCGTCTGTTATTTTACAGTGTACGAGGCAGGAAAAGCAGTGAAGAAAGGCGGTATGCCAATGAGTCAATATGCCCCCACCCTCTATGCTCCCAGTATGTATGCTCAGCCAGCATACGGTGGCCCGCTTAACCATCCTGGTATGCCCATGCTTCCTCTACCCAACGGATCCGGACCGCCACCTCCCCAGAATAGTTACGGCCGTGACTATGATGGCGCCAGCTCGGGTAAGAGTTCTTCTGCAGTTCTGATTGAATGTCAATGTCAGTTAGTCATTCACTACTTTCATAATGACGAAAAAAAAACTACGTTACCCAATTTGTTTTATGCAGAGTTTTGTTGAATCTTTGTTTAAATGTTCTCTGTTGTGTGTGTGTGTGTGTGTGTGTGTGTGTGTGTGTGTGTGTGT